TTAGAGCTAAAAAACGATTTAAAAAGCGAATTTATTGTGATTGTTTACATTTTACTTCGAAGGTTGGAGGCGGGACTTTTCGCGGCAATTTTTCCTTTCACAAGTCTCTGATTAGTTACAGTAATGTCAACAAAGACAGAAGATACCCAATAAAACTTTAGAAGGAGTTTCCCTTTGATTGTTTTCAACAACTGTCTAGTTAACTTCGAAGATTTACTGTAAATAGTAGGGGAGTGTTTTTCCCGAAATATTTATGGCCCAGGGGTGGTGACAAAACGCTTATTGGCTTAAACAAAGTCAATCGACCTACAAAAGAGCGAATCATAGCTAAAATCGCAAGAAAACTCGAATATAACGCAAATTATTCAATTTTTTTATTAAAACCGCGATTCCGCGGTATCAGCATCTCATTAATAATAGGTGGTCACGTGGTCACGTGATCCCGCGATAACGCGGTCATCACAGCAGCAAGGTTAAAGAATGCCCAAACATAAAGAAAGAACCGATATGCCACAACTGCAGTCAAAATAAAGATAGTCACAACTGCAAGCACAATGCCCAGGGCCGCTCTTGCCCGGTGTACCAGAAAATCAGGGACAACATAATATCGCGGACTGACTATGGATCCAATTAACCAAAATAGCCTCAGTTTTCTGCAAATTAACCTAGGGAAGAGCATTTCAGATACCTCCCATTTCAGCACCCTGATCTCTAATTATGATTTAATTCTTGTTCAAGAGCCGTACTGCAGCAGGAACACTCCAGCCCGCTTACCTACCTCCTGCCCAATCATTAAGGGTACTGACCTTCTTCCTTGGGCTATCACCTTAGTTTCCAACTCCGATATTTCCATTATGCACCACAAACATTTTAGCAGTCAATATATTGTCACTACTGAAGTCATGCTTAATACTACCAAAATCATTGTTATAAACATCTATTTCCTTGGCAGAGCAAATTCTTCTAACTTCATCGATAACCTTCAACGGATTGTCAATGTATTCCGTGGTTCCCCCATCATCATTGCTGGTGATTCTAATGCTCACTCGCCTGCCTGGGGTGGAGACAACCTTGACGAACGGGGAGGTCTCCTCGAAGAGTTTTTTGCACACAACGATATTTTGGTGCTTAACAACCCCTTCTCTCCACCAACCTTCACCTCTCAAAGAGGTAGGAGTTGGATTGTCATTGCTGCCTGTAGCAGCAGCCTCTATCCTAGAATTATCAACTGGCAAGTACTGGATGATGACAGCCTGACTGAACATGCATTCATCAGTTACAATTTACTTACGGACAACAATGGACAACTCCCTGTCTATACTCCACGCTGCAGCTTCTCCATTAATAATGCCAACTGGAGACGACATTAAAATTTATTTGGAAAATAACCTACACAATCAGTTCTCTGATGATCTGCAAATTGCAAGAACTCAAATTGACCATAACATCTCCACGATCACAGCTGCATGCAACCTCTACATCCCTAAGAGATGCTTCAAAACACGGAGTGTCCCATGGTGGACAACTGATTTATCCAACCTCCGCACCATAAATAAACACTTAAGGAAGACATTTCAAAGGTGTAATGATGAACAACTAAGAAATTCTCACAAGGCAACTTACCTCTGCCACCAAAAACTTACAAACAAGCCATCAAAGATGCTAAACTGCGCAGCTGGAGGGACTTTTGTACCATCTCCTCCAATAATCCCTGGGGTTATATCACCAAGATGTGCACAAACAAGCTCCGACACACCAAAATCTTGACTTCAAGGGTCACTGATGAAAACACCCCTTCAGATAACACCCAAACTCTCGCTGAACAACTGAATGCCTTCTGTCCTGAAGACCACTGCGAGGATGATTGGTTGGTTGGTTGGTTAATTTTTATTGGCACAAAAGCCATGCAGGCTATACTGCGCCACGACAAATGGTATGATTGGATGTATAAAATAAATAAAAAAAACATATATACAGAACAGTTTAACCATTCAAAAGCCAATGGTGATATATATATAGAATCTATAATATAATAAATAAATAAATAAATAAACAACAACAAAAAATAAAAACAAACAACGAAAATATATACAATAATTTAAATATGCAACACAAGGTAAATAAAACTATACAATAAATAAATCATTATATTTCTCTATACATGTTAATGACTTTCAGAAAGTCCAGTATATTATCCAAGTTTGGCCTCTGGCCCAAAATGTCTCTAAAGCTTGCATTTCCGAAATGCTGTCTACGACTCTGATCAAAAGCAACACAGTTGCAAAATATGTGTTTAACACTTACAGCACAGTTGCAGTGCTGACATACTGGTTCGTCATCTCCCTTCAAAAGGTATTGATGAGTCAGTCG